TCAAGATATTAACTGGAGACTTGTAAGAGATGATAGACCATGAGTTATAGATGTGCAATTTTGACTTCGTTTGCGTCGTCAGTACTTCCGGTCGCTACAGGAAGTGAATTTAAAATGTGCACTTTTTCAACTTTTTTTGTTTTTCAATATTTTTCTTTGATATAATTAATGGTAATTAAGATCCTACTGGAAAGGCCAAATATATAATTTATTTAAGAATTGATCAATCCACACACTAGATATTCGCATTTAAAAATCTGAAGCGTGTCCAAGATGGCGGCGGTCTCCGTAAAGACCGCCATTAAGCAAGTCGGGTTCTAGAAGGTCAGCTGAGCGTTTAGATGAACGAAACTTCTACCAAAAAGATTTATGGAATGTAAAGGATTCTTTAGATTGCTACATCGCAATTACGTTGCATTGAGTATAGTTTTAATATGAGGTTTCCTCAAACTTCTATTGAAATTGCTTTTGTCTGCATCTCATAGTAGAATACAACATGACTACAACTGGAAATACGATGACTACAGACTTTTGTTTTGCACCAGGGAAAACTTATCCTAAACCATGGTTATAAGTAATAGCTTTTCGAGAAACTTGCCTGACTTTATATTCACTATGTTTCTGAAGTATTACTTGACTTCTGTTTATTTTACCTCGCACGCTTATGACATATTAAATGAATAGAAATGAAAAAATAAGAAAAACATTTTTTTTAAAAGATTGTTTATTAAAGGTTATATAAATATTCTTGTAATAAATGCAAGTTATTGAACATGAAGATTATCAGATTCCTCGACCATCGGAGGGCGAGTGATTTTTTTTTTTTTCAGTGAAACATCCAGTCTTTTCATGAACGTGTGACTCATCTCCACTTTGGAGGTAAACAGGATACAAAATTCGTGGAAAATCTTACCGAATTCATAGCTTTAGTGTTACTTGGCCGTATACGATATAATATTTGTATAATGTGATAAATATACTTTCTAACGCTCGAAATTCAGGTTATAAGAAAATACATTTCTAATTTTCATTGAAGCTATCAGATCCATTAAATAGATCAAACATTTCAAAGGAATAGCGTTAAGAACTACTTGTGACATTTGGCACGAAATACCGGTAATGTATCATGGCCGACTTCAGTAGTAGACAAATGGCGACAATAGTGCAGAAATATATAACATTGACATGCCTGTATATGGTTTTGCATGGAATAAAAAGTTGAATACATATCGAATAAAGGAAAGAAAACAGTATCATCTGTTCATCACTTATAGATTATCTATCCTAAAAATTACTGTTAAAACTCAAGTAACAAATTCCGATGTGATCATCTTGAGCAAGTTTGGCGCGAAGATTTACTCGTGGGGTTTAACGCTTTATTATGAATAGTGACCGCCTTTCATTATTCTAAGACAGATGAATTGTTTCAGAAGTAATATACAAGTAGATTTAGAGATGTGGTCCCAATAGGGTAACAGTAAGCGCTTTGTATTTCCATGCTGGTGACCCGGGTTCAATCTCCTTTGTTTCCATAAAAAGTTTTATCACGTTTTCATCTCGATTTTGCGGGGTTTTTTCAGAATCGGACGGAAGACCTCTCGTTGCTCGCAACAAGTTTCTTTTCTAGTTATTCTTCTTCTTCTTCCTGGGTACTTTTTTGTCCGGGAGTGATCTTGTAAACTGTTCATCCGATGTAGGTAAAACCTTTTTAGGGTCAGTAGACATGTTATGTAGATTTGTGGAATCAAGGTCATTTTGCGCGCACGTGCTTGCAAGAGCGTGCGGTGCAACACGTGAATTGACCAATATAATAGATATAACCGTAACTTTTTTATTTTTTGATGAAATGCTTTGAAACTCATAATTTGATTATTTATTAGTAGTATAGACATAATAACATGGTCAAAATAGCAAGATCTCACGCGCATGCACGTGCGCTTTGCTCTGATTGGCTGAAACTAAAGTGTCTATATCTTTCTTATTTTTCGACGAAATCCTATGAAATTTTGAACATAGCCATGCATTAATATATCCTACAACATGATATATAGCATATATCATAAAATCACGTGCATGCACGTGCGCTGCAATCTGATTGGCTTAAACTTTAAATAGCTATAACTCCCTTGGTTTTCAACCAAACAGGATGGGATTTGGAACATACATAGATATAATGAACTTCTACAACATGATATGGTTGCCATGCACATGCATACACGTGCGTGTACTTGCGCTGTAATCTGATTGGCTGAAACTTCAAACAGCTATAACTGCTTTGGTTTTCAACCAAACGGAGTGGGATTTAGAACATAGAGAGATGTAATGGACGTCTACAAGAAGATATGGACACCATGCTCATGTATGCACGTGCGTGCACGTGAAATGAGTTTAATCAAAAATGCACTTGAATGAGTGTATTTTTAAATACTTTAGGATTAAATACTTTAATATTTAGTATATTAAAATGTATAGATTGTGTATACAAGATGATATGGTCATTACGCACATGCATTCACATGTGCACGCGTGCAATGCTAAAATTTGAATGAACTTGGCGTTGTTAAAGTCTCAAATTTATGCATAGATTTTGTCCTATTTGGGAGTTGGGGAGTGTTTGGGGAACATCTGTAACGGTCCCCGTTACAATTAGCACTAGTTTTCCTATAAGTTTGAACTTTCATTTTTGCCCCACCCTATCCCAGGGAGTCATGATTTGAACAAATTTGAATTAACACTACTTTGGCATGCTTCAATAAAAAAATGACCAACCATGGCTTTGTTGTTCTTGAGAAGAAGATTTTTAAAGATTTTTCCTATATATTCCTATATATGTAAAAATTTGGTCGTCCATTGTGGCCCCACCCAACCCCCAGGGGTCATGATTTGAACAAACTTCAATCTACACTACCTGAGGATGCTTCTATATGAATATGATCAATCATGACTTTGTTGTTCTTGAGAAGAAGATTTTTAAAGATTTTTTCTATATATTCCTAGGTAAAACTTCGGTCATCCATTGTGGCCCCACCTACCCCTGGGGGTCATGATTTCAACAAATCTGAATCTACACTACCTAAGGAGTGGGTCGGCCATTTTGGCCCCGCCCTACCCCCGGAGATCATGATTTGAACAAACTTTAATCTACACTTCCTGAGGATGTTTCCCTATAAGTTTCATCTTGCCTGGCACAGTGGTTCTTGAGAAGAAGATTTTTAAAATATGCCACCAAATTTTCAATAATTCCCAATTATCTCCCCTTTAATGAGGGCGTGGCCCTTCATTTGAACAAACTTGAATCCCCTTCACCCAAGGATACTTTGTGGCAAGTTTGGTTGAAATTGGCCCAGCGGTTCTTGAGAAGAAGTCGAAAATGTGAAAAGTTTACAGACAGACAGACAGACAGACGACAGACAGACAGACGGACGGACAAAATGTGTTCAGAAAAGCTCACTTGAGCCTTCGGCTCAGGTGAGCTAAAAAAACTGTTATCTCCTAAAATTGTCTCCTAGAATGATGAGTTATAAAACGAAAGTGAAAGTAAATAAGATTTAGTCTTGGGAGCTGTTGTTATTTCATAAATAATTTGAATAGGTGATATCACCTTTTTGAATCAGTGATATCATCTATTCAATGTGAAAAGGTAATATCACTTATTTGAATTAGTGATATCATCTATTCGAAAGGAAAAGGTGATATCACCTATTCGAATTAATGATATTGCCTTCTCGTATAAGTGATATCATCCCTTTGAATAGGTGATATCACCAATTCAAATCAAAAAAGTGATATCGCTTATTCAAATAGGTGATATCACCTATTCAAAATCTGAATAGGTGATATCACTTATTTGAATAGGTGATATCTCCACTTGAATAGGTGATATCACTTTTTGACATTAATTAAATACCAAAACGGCGCCCGATATATTCTAAATCATCAAACAATTGGGCAAAGCAGAAGCATAGTTTAAATTTATGATGTCTCCACATTCAATCAATACATTAATGCCACTTTTAGCAATACTTTTATACAGCTCTTAAATACAGGGGCAAAAAATAATATTGCATTTGAATCAATGGTCCAAAGAATACATGAATCTGAAAGCAATTTTTTGTTTATTATTTTACTTTAATTACATGTAAGAGCTATATGCATATTTTTGCTCCCATCATAAAGTAACCTATCTATCTATATGTATAATTTTGATCCCCTCCTGTGGCCCAAACTTAGTTCCAGAGTTCATGATTTAAACAAACTTGAATCTACACTAAGCAATGAAACTTTTACACTTGTTTTATTTTTCCCTGCCTGAATAGTTCTTTAGGCCATAATAAAAATATTCCTAGATTCTCATCCCCGCCCGCCCCGATTTTATACCCCCGCCTCGATTTTTTTTATATTTGTTTTTCTACGGTTTAATTCTGATCGGAATCGATATTCATCTACCATTCTACTTTCGTTTTAAACCCCGCGAAAGTCGTCATGATTTTTGACAGCTGAAAAGGTGGTGATTGCTGTTATACATGCGTATATATTGTAAACAAGGGTCATTGGTTGAAAAAGATTGGTGATAATGTGAAGTAAGCGATAATTGAACCTTTACTATGACTTTTATTCGGGTATTGTAGATAAAATTACACCTATTGACCAGGTCAATAAAAAATCTGAAAAATTGAAAAAATAAAAAATATAAAATAAAAGCCGCCCGCCCGCCTCGATTTTTAAAAAAATTCGGATGAGAATCTAGCAATTTATTTATTATGGCCTTAAGAAGAAGAAATTGAATGATGCCATTAAATTTTTCTTAGTAAACTCCCTTAGGAAGAGGATGTAGCCATTAAGTGAATAATGTTTTAATATGTTTGGCATGGTTGGTATTGGCTGACTGCATCTTGACAAGAAGTAAATGTTTAAAGTTTACAGACAAACAGATGGACTACAGACAAAATTTTAATCAGAAAAGCTCATTTGACTTAAAAATTGAATCATACAAGAATTACCATCTTTTCTTTTTATAGAATCCAGTGTATCATCAAATACTCCTCCAGTGTCTTCTTCTTCTTCTTTTGAAGATGTCTCCTCCTTATTGTCTTCAAATAAAAGTAACAAGAATTATCAAACAAAGGAAACTATAATTGGTGAACATTTCTGAAAGTCTATAACAGTAAACATGTACAATAAATCATTTATGTTATTTACTGCTGATCTAAAAGTATGATACAGTTGATAGAAACAATATGGAGAAACAGGACTACATATATTCTGTAATTCTTATCATTAGGATGACCAAAGTTCTCCATTTTTAATATCACCCATGCAAGTATGTTCTGGAGAAATTGTTTTTTATAATGCTACGTTCCCACTATCACGGTTGGCGCCACGATTGGTATCGGGGACTCGAACGTGGACAAATCGTAGTGATCGTATCCAATCGAAACAAATCTTGTGTTCACTCGTGGCTATCGTGTTGATCGTGAAATTTTTTTTTGACTGTCAAAAATTTTTCTACGATTAACACGATTAGATTTTAATCGTTATCATCGCATCAAATCGAATTACGTCGTAACTAACCTCAGCTGCATCGTTAGTAAACGCATCTTATCTGGCTTTCGTGATCATCGGGATCAATCTCGGACAGAACAAACATCCCGCTAAGTGGCGATTCGTTGCGATGTTTCGCGTTCTGTCACTATCTGTGACGCTTTGCGTGGTCCTACTGCTCACGTGCTGACACGGTATTTTCCCGCTCAGAGATGATTTGATACGGACGCATGAGAGTAAACGCCATTAGACACGAGTGTTAACGCTTTGTTGTGGACAATCACGCTATATTACGAGTATTTAAGCTTGCATAAATAACGGTAAAATTGAAAGTTTCTTTTTATTGAAACTTTCTTCTTAAAGTTTCTTTCCCCGATTGAAAAAAAATGTTTGAGTTTTGGAAAAATATTTTTAAAGATGCCACCTAAAGGAAAGAGGGGGAGATCCTATATTCATCTGAACCTGAACCCATTCCATCAGAGGCAACATCGGTGAAAAAAATAAAAAGATAAGAAAACATACTGCTGCTTTTGCTCTACTTTGACAGCAATAACATATGACCATAGTAACACTACAAACACCACGTTCATGGCGTTGTCATCAACCTCAACTTCTGCAATTATTATTGATTGTATTTGTATGTTTACTTTTTAATAGATAAAATATAATGGACTCAGTTTAGCCAGATTTTTATATATCTTTCGGGGTACAATCGTAGCTCAAAGCGTGTTGTATCTTGATACTGATCGTGAAAGACATTGCAATGAACGTGTTATTCTATCGTACATTAGCGCAAGAGTGCGCGATGAACGTATTATATCGCAAGAGTACGTATTAAAACGTAGAGGATTGTTTCAAATCGAGAACTCGGATCGTGAAATTCGTGACAGATCGAGGTTCTTTTTCGACTAAATATTGATAATCCTATTGGAACGTAATTCATCTTATCCGAACGTTTGTCAGATCGTCAGAGATCGTATCACATGCAATTTATCCATCGTGGCCGTAACGCATAAAAGCGTAACAAAACGTATGAAAACGCACCTATACGCATCTCTTCGTATCTTGGCATAAAATTCAATAAAAACTCTGCGATCAACTACGATTGATCTATCGTGACGTTCGTAACTCACCGCACGACAGTGGGAACGTAGCATAACCATAACAGTCTGATGAAACTAAAGCTATGTTGGATTGTATATATGAGAAAAGAGGCACTACAAATTGAAATTTTGCAACAGCAATAAATAATGAACCTTGGATTAGTCCTTTTTTGAGGGTTCCCCATTTGTCATTTTATAATACAGTACAAGCCGTTTATTATCATAGCTAATTTGTCAGGGCAAAACTTTATAATAACCGACTATGATAATAACCATGGACAGCTAAAATTCATCTCGGAGGTCTGACATGAACATCAAATAAAATGTCTGCCGTTTTTACATGATTGCATGTCTTATAAATAAGTGTTATGTTACATGTCTTATCATATTTGTAGGTTTATTTGAAATATAAGTTAACTGGCATATAATATTACGTTATTTACTTACTATTTTAACATTTTGTATGATTAAATTCGCTTTCATGAAGCTTGATTATCTCCGAATTCAATCTTTCAATTGCCTTGGCATCCATCTTGTTTATTTTCATTTTGATCTACTTTAATTTTTAACAAAATGATTAATTCATTCTTCCAATGTTTCCAATTCGTTTAAAGGTCCTATATCGGATAAAAAACAGAACAAAAGAGATTATGTTTGTTCAAATCTTTTATTTCTTTTATTCATCAAAAACACATGTATTTGAAAAGTAAAAACCACAGAACATTTAAAAAACAAAGATAAACTTTCAGCATGACGCAACATACTTACCAACTGGAATAAATATATGGTATTAAATTAATTTTACAACAGTTCATGCAATAAAACTAATTGTTTTATTCATTTTATTTATTTAATCAAAATACACATAAAACAATCAACACAAAGAAGGTTTCAATTCACTATGTCAGTTCAAAATTTCACTACACATTTCTCCGAACATACTCACCAACACATTTGTATACTTACGGTATCCAGTTGATGAACTCGGTAATCTTCCGTTGGATTTTCAGCAGCTCAAAGATCTTTTTACACTTCTCCTCCAATTCGTAGAGTTGATCGAAATCCTTGCAGCCATTTTCCTCAAACAATCGTCTCAAGGTGTTCAGCGCTTCCTCGCCCTCGCTCTTGGTTACCGGCAGTTGAATTTGCACACTCTCCTCAATCTCCGTGTCGTCCTCTTCATCCTGCGATTCCTCTGCCGTGATGCTAGCACAGATTTCTTCATCAGGTGGAACATGATGACACTGAATTTCCTCTTCGGCTTGCAGTAACTCCTCGTGCTGTTCTTCCGTCACACCCTCCAGAATCTCACTGTTTTCTTCATCGGAATCCTGGTGTTGATCAGCTGTGAATCCAGCCTTCCTGAAGCAGTTCTGTATCGTTGATGATTTCACGGTGTTCCAGGCTTTCCTTAGCATGTGAATGGCATCCAGCAGTGTTACACGCTTGGCAAGGTCGTTAGCAGATAGCTCCGAGTTGTCGATGTCGCCGATGATTTTCTTCACAACTTCGTTCCTGTAGCTGGATTTGAAATTTCTTATGATGCCTTGGTCACACGGTTGAATCAATGAAGTGGTGCTGGGAGGCAGAAATTCCAGGCGGATGTTGGAGAGTCGCTGTGCAGATTCTTTGGGATGGGCGCTGCAGTTATCCACGAACAAGATCACTTTTCTTTTCTGTCTACACATATCACTGTTAAACTCACAGATCCATTCACTAAAAATCTCACCCGTCATCCAGGAATTCTTGTTTGCTGCATACTTCACTGGTAGACTCTTCTTTCCTCGGAAACATCGGGGGTCTTTGCTCTTCCCAATCACTAACAATTTTCTTTTATCCGTGCCGGTCATGTTGGTGGCGATTATGGCTGTCACACACTCCTTTGCTTTCTTGGATCCGCTGGTTTGTTGATCCTTGAATGTAAGGGTTCCCTCTGGAATGGCTCTGTAGTATAGACCAGTTTCATCCGCATTGTAGACGTCCTCGGGGTTGAATTCTCGTAGAATTTCAGGAAGAATGTTGACTTTCCAGTGGTCTGCAGCGTTGGTGTCGGCATCTTTCTTTTCCCCGTGCATTCGCTTGAATCCGATGTTTTCACGTCCTTTCCAACGGGACAGCCAGCCGTCTGTTGCCTTGAAATCTGTTACATTGAGGCGTTCCGCAAGTTCTGTTGCTTTTTCTTGAAGGATGGGTCCCGTGAGTAGAATATCCCGATGTCTGGCCGCTTTAAAACCATTCTTTTAACGCTCCCTCAACTTCCGCAGATTTTCCGCTTCTTTGTCGTTTTCTCTCGGGATTAGCACAAGACTCATAATCTTCTTTAATCTTTAATCTGTTCTTTGATATCAAGCTCACAGTGGATTGGGAAATTCCTAGACGCCTCGCAATTTCTGACTGTGATGTTTTCTGGTCGAGAAGTTTCACTATGTCGTACTTTTGAGCAAGGGACATGTCGTTTCTTTTCCTTTTGTTGGCCATTGTTGAAATTATGCACTGCACTTCACTTTAGAATAGCACAAATTTATTCACATGTAGAAACACAGACACGTATCACGGCACGCACACAAGAAAATATAGAAGCACTAATCACAATTAAAAGCACTAAACACAAATAAATAATTACACAGCGCTACATATGTAAAAAAAATAAATTACGACACTCTTCTAGGAAGTGTTGATAGAAGATTTTCACAGAAAGAAAATAAGCACTAAATTTTAATTTGGGTGAATGCTCCACGAAGCAACTGATGAAATGGGACAGGTTGTGAGCGTATTTATTGGTAAGTGAACATATCCAAGCTGAGTGTCAGGGAGAAAAAATCATCTCAGACACAAGCCCATTTTTTATAATCTTTGCATCCAAGCAGCTTGCGCCAATTTACACTTCACGGTGCTGTATAATTAACATTAATTGACACACTGACGAGCATGTAGATCAAAGCCGCTTGGACAGGCTGGTTAACGAGTTAATTTCACATCACTTCTTAATTAATTGGACGTTTTTTAAATGGGATTAATTATGAACATCGATCAGCCAACAAGCGTAAGAAAGCTTGGGTTAATTGACACTAAATTTAGATTCAACACATTTTGGTAAAACACATTTATTATCAATGTACAATTCATTGATTGCGAATGGTTTCCTGTTCTTGTGTAATGTACTTTGTGAAATAAACAAAACTTCGAGTCATCGCTCAGGTAAGTGCGCTGGAGTGTGACTAATCCCCCTCAGTCAAGCCATTGTGTATAGATAAGCAACAGTGCATGGGTCACAGGTGTTGACAGCTGTTATCTTTTGTTTTGTTGATTTCTCAAGAGTGAAAAAGGTGTGAAAAAAATATTACGAACGAAATTTTTCTATTATAGTAACCGAAGTACACACTTTTACCTATGATAATAACGCAAGAAATTAACATTGAATTATTAAGAAATGGTTTTGTGTTTTA